GTCTTTCTGAGAAGCCCAAGTCCAGAGACCCAGCCTCAGGAAGTCTCCCCACACTGCAGAACACTGCATGATTGTTCTGAGTACTCAGTGCCCCTGTCCCCAGCCTGCTTCTGGAAACTGCTCTGTGTGGCCCAGCGCAGCCCCCTCCCCAAACCCTCACAGGCACGCACCCTCTTCCTCCTCACCCTCAGTCTCTGCCTCACTGGGCTCCAGGTGCTCCAGCTGGGCCAGAAGAAGATTAGCCTTGTGCTCCACCTCTGAACCTGGCAGATTGATGTGTACGTAGGCCAAAAGAAACTTCAAACAACGAAATTCTGGAGGCTCATGGAAATCAATGGAATGGAATTCCAGCCAGATATTTACGATGGTGGACATGGCACTGGGGGAGAAAGGTGGGCAGCAGCATCAGAGGCCTGGCCTATCCCTCTATGCTGCCCTCCCGGGGCTCCCCTGAGTGAGCTGCAGTCTTGTACCCTCTGCCCCTGCCTGTCCATAGACCAGCCCCTCCAATGTCCACCCCCAGTATGGCAGCCCTGGCAGAGATGGGCCTGGCAACCAAGGAGGGGCTGGCAAAAGCCTCTGTGGGGGGAGCCTTCAATCACTGGTGTGACCACCTTTCTCTTTTTCAGGGAAACCTGACACCCTCCTCTGTCTGGGTCCCTGCCCCATCCCTGTTGGAATGACCTGTCCTTCAGGGGAGGAGGGTGCTCTCTGCTCTGGGCATTACTCGCTGGCACACAGGAGGTGTCCAGGAATATCTGATGAATGAGGAAACAGAGGGAAGCTCTGCTCCCCTGGCCTTCCCAGGGCCCTTGGAAAACTCCAAACTTGAGCTCACACGTGGATGTGCTGCCCAAGTGTCTGCATCAAAATCCGCATCTCCTCTTCCCACTGACACTGATCTCTTGACCCTGACCACACTCTGTGCCCCCAGCACCAGCTGAGCATCCCCATGGAGGCTCCAGCTCCGAGTGTGAGCGGGATGCTGTGCACACCTCCTGCTCTGGTTCATCACGGGCTCTGGGGGTGTGGGCAGGGCTGGGTGGGAGGGGGTGGGGACGGATTCTCTGTGGGCTCACTCTGCTCTCCAGCCTCTCACACACCCTACAGTGGTTGTGGCCCCATCCCCAGCTCATCTTGACTCCTTTTCCTGCAGGGAAATCCTGAGCCCTCAGCCCTGTAGCAGGAATCATAAGGTGTGTGGGAGCTGGAGTTCTGCCAGCTCCCCATCCACAGGCCCCTGCAGACCACACACAGTTCTGTGGAGATGGGAGCCCCTCCATCTGTACCCAAACCCTACTTACCATTTTAGCTGCTCCAGGGGTCCGCCATCCCCGTGACAATCCGAAAGGATGATTCCATACCTAGAGGAGGCCAGGAGGGTGTCACATCCACCATGTGGTGGCACTACCTGCTTCTCATGTCTATTGTGACTGTCTGACCTCTGAGTAGAATGGAAGCCCAGGAGGGCAGGGATTCTAGTCTCCTCGGTTCACTGGAATATGGCCAGTGCCCAGAAAGTTACTGCACATAGTGTGGCTTCACATATGTTTGTTGAAGGAATGAACCCCAACCAATGCCTTCCAAGATATCTGGGTGCACCCGAAGCCCTCTGCTGGCCCCTGGTCTCCGTGTTTTGAATACACCCAGAAGCCTGCAAATACAACCTCAAATTTCCTGTAAAAATGTGAAAACAGTGAAGCCCAAGTCAACAAAGTCAGTGAGGGTGTGACAGAGACTTCCTCGTGGGGGGGCAGGAATCCTGAATGAGGACGACCGTGGCCCCTCCAGCAGATCTTTCCACAGGGCTGGACTCAGGAGCAGCAGTGGACTGCAGTGGGGGACCCACTGGAACTTGTTCCTGTTACCACCCACTGATCACAGGAGGAAACTGAGGCTCAGAGGGGCGTGGTGACAGTCCCAAGACTCACAGCTGGGAGGTGGCCGAGTGACACTGTGCGACTGAGGGGCAGAGTCCTCACCTGAGGAAAAGCAGATCCAGCACCTGCTGGGGAGTGGCAAAGTTCCTGTAGCTTGACAGGAACGTGTGGATGTAGGAACGGTTGCCATCCAGGGCAGCGGGCAGCAGGAGCGCCACCCGCTTCTGCACCATGTCTGTCGGGAAAGGCCACACCATGTGGGTGGCATCTGGGCTTAGGGAAGACTGCTCTTCTCTCTAGGACAGGACAGGGAAGAGATGCACAGTGACAGCACCGTGAACCCCCTGGAGGGAAGGGGCTGGAGGCCAGTCTTAACCCCAGGGAGGACATGAGAAGACAGCCTGAGGGCCCAGGGTTCATTTACAGGGTGGTGGTTGCCACCCCGGCAGTCCCCTTTCACCCTCCAGCCATGACCTGAGGTGTGAACACACCAGGACCAGCAGGTTTATAAACCCCCCACCGTCTGCCCCTGCCCAGGGAGGGTGTCCCATGTCCCCATTCCCCACACAGTCAGGAGGAGGGTGTGTGGTCACCCAGGGAGGCTCACAGTGCTGGCCTGGCCTGGGCCACCCTCCCCTGGGACACCTGACATTACCTTTGGGGACCTCCTGCCAAATGGCCACAGGAGCCCAGGGCGAGGGTTGAACCAGCGCCGGAAGCAGCGGACAAGCCTCTCAGCGCAGGGCTTCCTGGGGCTACTGCCCCGGGACCTCGGGATACAGCACAACATCTCACTCTGCC